TGGTTCTCTCTGCACTTCAGAAACATCCTTTTTTAAGATTAGGAACAGTCCTCTCTCTACTCTCACCTAAAAAGTGGGATTTCTTATAGCCTTTATTTCTTGTATCACCTTGATAAGGCCAGTGTCTAAGGTGGCAAAATTATTTTACAAGGAGCCCAGTTTTCAAATTTTGATTAGGGATGATATGGTGTTTGAGCCTAGGACTGGCTTTGGTTTTAAAGGCAGCTTCTAGGTCACATTGCTGTCCTTATCCATGTCTGCCTCAACAGGGCAGAGATAGCATTCTAATTAATATAAATATACAATTATTAAAAATAGAGTAAATGCAATACTTGGTTTTTTAATAAAGGATATTGATGATATTTAATGGCAGATGTGGCAAAGAGAGGTGAGTGGGAGAGGGTGCAGCATCATGCAGAATGCAAAGGACAGTAACAAGTCTCAAAACAAAGCCACCTTGTGGGAATGGCGGCCAGTCCATTCTCTAAATTTTCCCCCTGCAAAACGAGGGATACAGAGATGGTCAGAAAATATGACAACAGTTGCTTCTCACTGCTTCCTCAAAGTGGGTAATTTTGGGCCCAATATTGGATAGTGGGAGTTGATCCCCTAAAAGATGTCCCGTTCTATTGGGTAAGACTGAAAGGTACCTTTGATGCCTCCCCAAAAAATGTCTGCCTCACAGCAAAGCACCCCAACACATACCACCTGATTATCAGCACTCCAACACATGCTTCATTACATTCCACATGCTGGTGGAGTGCAAGGTGCTGGCTTGACCCTGTAGGTCAAAGTGATGGCCGAGTACCTAGCACTATAGCACCAGTCACAGAAAAGGGTGCTTTATCAGTTCAATTAAAATGGATTTTAAATGCTCTTGTGGAGGAGTCCACATTTGGAGTCCATATAAAATGACCTATATACACATCTGTGGGGAGAAGGAGGACGAAAAGGGAACATTAGCAGACCATGGGTGCTATGCATTCTAGAGGCCAAAAAATGTTGCTGCTATGAACCCCTGAGGAGTAGGAGGAGGAAGCACGTCACATTAGCAATCCATTGAAATAGCTGATATTCATGCCTAGAGAAAATGAGAAGAGAAAGGCACATTAGTAACACCTAAAAAGAGTGGCTGTGATGCACCCTTTATAAGGTGCAGGGGGAGGAATATGTTACATTAGGAGTCCATAAAAAATGGCTGATATGCATCCATTTGAGTTAAATTACCCCTCCAGGGTAATCAGAGCAAATTACACTAACATACCCAGTGCTATACTCCCACCACTATTTACATATATTTACATACAGTATTTATCACAATATATCACCTACATCAAAAATTAATATTCAATAATAAGTGATGAGCAGTGAAGCCCGTATTTAATTGTGCAGCAATTTAATGTGGCCACACAACTTAAAGTGTTACTAAACCCAGGACCCTGAATTCAATATCTGGTCTCTCAAAGTGCACAGAACATGGAAATTATTTTAGAAAATATAAACTGCTAAATACCTTTTCTTCTCAGCAGTTAAAGAGATCGTGACTTCTATCAGTGTCCAGCAGAACACTGGTAAAGATTGTCCTATGAGTCTGCAGGACCCCTGACCCTCTATCTGGACAGCGCTGATTGGCTCTGTGTTGATCCCAAGCACTCCCAAGACAAAAAAAAACCCTCTCTAGCAATACACATCAAACTGAGCATGTGAAGCTTGCCCCAAAGGCTCTGTTCTATCAGTAGATTGGGGACAGTAGGAGAAGGGGACGATCAGAGAAGACATGATCAAACACCCTTTTTAGACAATGCAGAGGATTAACCCCTTAGGGTCCACAGTGAGTAAAACAAGCAGCATAAAAAAACAGTCTACACAGACTGATTTTACTGTTGTCGGTTTATTAACACTTTAATATCACCACATAAATAGCATTTTAATTGTTAAACAATAAAATTAAAATTGAAAATAGAAATCAGTCTCTTGAACCTGTCTCCACTATGACAACACCAAAGTGATGCATTCAATGTGTCATCCCACTTTCATAAGGGCATATCATTGTTAAAGTGCTCAAATCCAGTGCACAGATTTCCATGACAACTTATCTCTAAGTAGGTCTAAAAGCACTCTCACTGCAGAAAACTCCACCTCAGTCCCAGCAAGCGCCATTCTGAGTATCCTTCTTCAACCCTCTTCGGTTGTTGCTATTTATTGATGAGAGTGTTGAGAGGGAATATCTACTGTACATTAGCTCTAAAGCGTCTTAGTAGAGGCTCAACAGATAAAGTAAAAATTATACAGTGCTAAATTACTCTTGTTATGTGATCTGTGCACTAGTTTTCTATGTATTTAACGTTGCTTGTGGAACTAAAAGAACTGTTGTTTCTAGAATTACTCCTGCTGCTGGAATTGTCCTGCTGACTTTGATTTCTGCTCTGCACAAACCCGTTTCTCTGAATTATCTGTGATTGCACACAACATACAGCCACATTTACAGCAATATGTATCAGCAAAGATCTGTGTATTGGCTAGAGATAAACCCTCTGCAGTTAGCCAGTGAACCATCATTTCTCTGTCAAGATGAGGCTGAGTTGCATTTGTATATATATATATATATATATATATCTCACACACGTGCATTCTTTTCCTGATTTTTTTCTCAGACATATTGTATAAGAATCTGTTTGTCTTGGAGACAGGCATCAAGTTTCTTGGAGTTTGTTTGAGGATATACTTCTCTAACAAAAAGTATATCTACAGATTACAAGGTATTAAGGGTCCGTTTATGACACAGAGAATAGCTGCGATTCTGAGGATCACAGCTATTCTCTGGTCATTCACAGTTTATGTCACTCAGGAGATCAGCGGAGAACATGTTCAGCCCTTCACTGGAGATCTGTGTTCTCCCTCCAGATTCTCCAGCCCAGAGCTGGAGAATCGGAGGAACCGCAAACTAAGCAGCGATAATTTACCTCTGCTTAGTAAACAGATCTTTTACTGAAATCTCCCGAGATTATAGTAAAATCAGCCGTTATCCAGCGTTTGTAGACCGTTTTCCAGCGGTTTTAGATCATTCTCCCTCCGTTTGGAGAACTTATCTACACCGGTTCATAAAAGGCATTCACAGGAGAACTGTGTTCTCCGAGAATGCCGGAGAACTGAGCAGCGATCTATTACCGCTGGTTCATAAACGGACACCTATATGTTGTTATGGATATGAGACTTGTTCCAAACAAATATGCTTAATCTTGTAGATGATGTCATCCATGTGCAGAGTTCTTCTCTCTTTTTCCTGAGGAAGGAGTGGAACCACTCCGAAACGCATTGGAACAATTAGAATAGTGCCGTTTTTGTACATCAATGATGATACTATAATTAATATCCTCTATGGCCAGTCAAAGAGTCATACTGTGTATCCTTCTCATGTAAATTCATATTCTGGTTTCGATGCTGTACTATGACTCTATGTGATGTATTGTATGTCTATGTTTCACAACAATTTTTTCACAAATAAAAATTTTACATTTTTAATATTTTTGGTACTATTTAAGCCTTCAAATTCCCCCTTCTTCATCTACTTCTCAAACAAAGGTCGCTGGATACAATGGTACCATACTATTGTTGTATTTCAGTTGACAGTTGCATCAATCTATTGTTCTGTAATCAAGGTCAAACACAGCTTGACCTTTTGACATATATGACCTATGGCATGTATGATACCATCTTGAGATCGAACTGGAGAATGTTTCTTCCATTGAGACACATTATTGAAGGAGCCATACCCATGTAGGATAGTAAAACTTTCCAAATAAAAGCCAAAAACAGATGCTGATGAGGAGGACTCTAAGATGACATAACACCAAGGAAGATCTCTGACAGAAGAAGTTTTTCACTCGATCTGCAAATGCTGTAGAGTAAAACTGGGTCCTCGCGTTGCCCATGAAGATCGCGAACCCACTCTAACCTGAGTTAAGTAACCTTTTAGCATATTTCCATTGTACACAGAGTTGCTCATTTGCTAGGAAGTAGGTAGCAAGTTTCTTGTTGTATGTATATCTGTCACTCTTGTACTGTATTTCCTATAATTGTAATAATTTCTATGTACAGCATTTTCATTTAGTAAAAGCACATTAATGCACTACACAGGTCTAGGTTTCCTTGCTTATAAACACAAAGTAACCTTTACTAGACATCACAGCAAAAACAGCTGCAACTTGTAGAGATTACTTGATTTTTTGAAAGAAAAACTACTGCTAAAGAGTATGGAGAGAAGGCATTTTGACAGAAATGTAGAGATTACTGTTTGACCCACACATTTAAACCTTCATTGAAGCTTAAAGAGAAATATTCAAATGAACAAAGCAGAATGATTGATAAACTGCCTAATCAGTGAAATAGGGCTATGCAATGCTTAACTGTTGCTAATGTAGCACTACCCCCTTAGGAGTTGCTGTTGAATTTTGGGTCCCCCTATAGTCCTGCACAGCCAGTCAGCTAGCATTTGCCACACAGCTTTCATCCACAGACAGAAATCAGGCCTTGAGTGTTGGTTTTGCTATTTCATTGAGGGGATTAAATTTGGATAGGATATATGGGTATATAGGATGCCTAGGGGAACTGAAATCTGAGGACAACTTCCTGAACTATTCACAGCTTCTTCTCTCTGACACACAGTCTGTTGGAGTGCTAGCCAGCAGCTCCAGTTGTACTACCCCAGACTCTAGGTCAGGGGTCCTCAAACTACGGCCCGCAGGCCACATGCGGCCCGCCAAGGCCATTTATCCGGCCCGCCGGCAGGGGTGGGACAGGAAGGGACACTAAGTACAGGGGTGGGCAGGTGCTGCTGTACCTTGCCTGGCTTCGGTCGCAGTCTCACGACGATGCAGTCCAGGAAGCGCTGCTCCTTCATTCACTCCGGCCACTCCCTCACTCCTGCCGCTAGGCTCCGCCTCCTCACTGGTGAATGGGCGCCAGAACTGTAGCTCAGGAAAGGCACACAGGTGGCCAATCACCTGCGAGGAGGCAGGACCGAGCGGCCCCGCGAACATCGAGTGAGAGGCCGGAGTGAAGGACAGCTGACAGGTAAGTGTGCCGTGCTGATGGTGCTGCTGCAACCAGGTATGCTGGCTGCATTAGCACCTAGACTGGAGCAGGGGTCAGCAAGTTACGTGTCATTGGTGTCAGTGGGAGGAATAGTGCCCCATCATTGGTGTCACTGATACTAATGATGGGGCATTATTTCTCCCACTGACACCAGTGATGGCGCACTATTCCTCCACTGACAACAATGATGGGACACTATTCCTCCCCCCACGGACACCAATGATGGGGCACTATTCCTCCCCCCCACTGACACCAACAGTGGGGCACCATTCCTCCCCCCCACTGACACCAACGATGGGGCACTATTCCACCCCCCACTGACACCAACGATGGGGCACTATTCCACCCCCCACTGACACCAACAATGGGGCACTATTCCACCCCCCACTGACACCAATGATGGGACACTATCCCCCCCACTGACACCAATGTTGGGACACTATTCCCCCCACTAACACTAATGACGGGGCACTATTCCCCTCCACTGACACAATGACGTACTATTCCTCCCACTGACACCAAAGATGGGGCACTATTCTTTCCACTGACACCAATGATGGGGCACTATTCCTCCCACTGACACCAATGTTGGGACACTATTCCCTTCCCCCCCCACTGACACCAACGATGGGGCACTATTCCTCATCCCACTGACACTAATGATGGGGCACTATTCCTCGAACTGACACCAATGATGGGGTACTATTCCTCCCACTGACACCAATGATGTGGCACGTTTCTTCCTACTGACACCAATGATGGGGCAAGTTTCTCTCCACTGACACCAATAATGATGGGGCACTATTCCTCCCACTGACACTAATAATGGGGCACGATTCTTCCCAGTGACACCAATGATGGGGCACTATTCCTCCCACTGACACCAATGATGGGGCACTATCCCCTTCCCCCACTGACACCAATGATGTGGCACATTTCTTCCCACTGACACCAATGATGGGGCACTATTCCTCCCACTGACACCAATGATGGGGCACTATTTCGCTCCATAAGACACACTTGGTGGGAAATGTCTGTGCGTCTTATGGAGCGGCCGGTCCAGTATTCCCGCCGCCGTTGTATGTCCGCAGTCTCTGGTCATCTCCTGTACTGTGTCCGCATTTGTTCATAGTTTTTTTTTTTTTATAAAACTATAGTCCGGCCCTCCAACGGTCTGAGGGACAGTGAACTGGCCCCCTGTTTAAAAAGTTTAAGGACCCATGCTCTAGATGAACCCCTCTTCACCCAGCAATCTGAAGGTGTTCTTCCTGAGCAGGAGAACTGGCCCATGTTCGTTTACGTACGGTACACAGGGGTCAATTCACTAACAGATAAATACCGCATGCATTTGAGGTAAAATAACTCATGTGGTATTTATTTAAAAAATTTAAAAAGTAGTCAATTCACTAAAAACATGCGTTATTTACAGAAATATTTATGCTTTGTGATGTTTAGCACTTAAATTTTGTGTTATTTTTAGTGTTGTTTTTCAAAAAAAATTTTTTGCAGGCTAACACTGGAAGGCACAGCAATGCATGTTACATGGAAGACACAGCAGGGCACATTACATGGAAAGTAAAAAGGGGGTGCAGTGCTAAGAAGTTAAATATTAATAAATAAATAGATCTGTAATTTATATTGTGTCCAATATAAATTCATAAAAAGTTCATAAAATAGAAGTGGATCAGTTTAAATAGTGAGTAAGACAGTTCAAAAAGGTGACTCTTGTGCTCTGGTTATTCTGGAACCGGTGTCCATGCAGTAATAGTGTAAGTAATGCGCACTCACCGGACGCGCATATAAAATGCGACTTATATCAATATTCCAGATGTCATCAAGGGGAGTCAGGAACCGGGTAGTCTTCGTTACATGGAAAGATGGAAAGCACAGAAGGACACTTTCCATGGAATGGGACACAGCAGGACACGTTACATGGAAGACACAGCAGGATCCATTACTATGGGGGGAGGTTAGGATGACATCATCGCCCCACCCCCATACAGCTGCCTGCACTTTCTGAACATTGAGAGAATCTTTCTCTGAGATCCTGTAACAGTTCAGTACATAGGCAAAGACAGGCATAGCTGCAGATGCTAAGACATATCATCCATGTGTTGCTGTATGGCTCAGAGTACAGAGGGCCCCCCTTCGCTTGGGGCCCCTGTGTGACCCACACACACCGCACATATGGATGTTAAGTCTCTGGTCCAAGTTATAGGCAGGGAACAGAATATCTTAAGTGCATGAAACTAAATCTTGATACTCTATTTTTTCAAGCATTCTAAGAAGTCCCAATCACAGTGATCGTCATCAGCATTCTACTATCAACGATTCTCACTAAGTAGTCCTAATGGCCTGTGCTAAGCAGAAGAAGAAAAAGTGGACACTTACTGTAGTAATAGGGAAGCAACTATCAAAGCACAAGCTGCATAGGCAGAGATGTAAGCTGCCCAGACACAAGTGCAGGCAAAAAAATTAATTGCCCAGGAAGGAGAAAAAGCGGCCCAAGCATAAGTGCAGGCAGAAGCTGCCCATGAAGGAGCACAAGCTGCCCAAACAAAGTGCAGACAGAGGCAGCTCAGCCAGAAATTCTTCAGAAGGAAGAAAAGGAAGCAGTAGCCTTAGCCAAATTCAAAGCCTTTGGACAAACTAATAAAGGAGAGGTTCTAGTGCCCTATCTTGACAACCTCTGATGACTCTGCAAATCAAACCTTATGATTTTACCTAACAATGAAGACACAATTGCACTGTAAGCTTTACATTTCGAATAGGTGCCAGCAGCAGAAGCTGTCGCAATCAACCACACAGGTCACCTTTGCACATCAGACACTTCTCTGCCTCCCAAATTATTATTTTCCTATGCAGCAACTCATATGCCACCACATACCCTCTGAATCCCAGTTCACCAAATCACCTCAAAACCTCCTGGGTTTGGTCACATGATTCTTGAGACACGCATCACAAGACTTCCAGACCTTAAACTTTCACCTGGACTGAACCCATCTTTTACTCCATTCTGCCTTCCAACACCTAAACATTAGGTATTAAATACAACCACCTGCAGTAATGGTAAAGGAGCACCTGTCATGGTAAGGCCTGAAAGGACTGATACAGACCTTGCAAAGTACATACCCAGCAGAGAACTTATAAATGTTGTCACCTCTCACAAAGCTCAAGGATCACCATGCATAACGTGGTCTGAAAGGGCTAATATGCCAGACCTTGCTAAGTATACAAACCTTAGAGAGCTCTTTAATACTGGCCGTATGAAGTTCAACAACCACCCAGAGAACTACAGGAGCCAGAGATCCACATTTAAGCTAGTAGTCCAGGAGCTTAGTATCTCACCTATGCAAGAGCATGACTTGCTAATCAGATGATTGGGCTCCAGTCCTCAGACCATGTTAAAAATTGTCCTTAACCAAAAACCAAAAGAACGCAAGGAGTTTCTAAAGAATCATACCATTTCTTTCAGACGTTCTGCATCAACAGAGCACTTCTCCAAAGACTCCAGTTGAGTGCTCAGAAAGCAACAGTAACATACACATATCTGCCTTACAATAGCTAGACACTCTGGGGGAGATTTACTAAAACTGGTGCTTTCAGAATTTGGTGCAGCTGTGCAGGGTAGCCAATCAGCTTCTAACCTCAGCTTGTTCAATTTAACTTTGGCAATAAAACCTGGAAGCTGATTGGTTTCCTGGCAGAAGTGAGCCTGATCTGGAATTTTCTAGCTTTAGTAAGTAAACCCCTCTTTGTCTCACTATGCTGCACAATTGTGTTTCACTTTGTACTACACAGACACAAAGAATCATTGCCTTCTGACACTTCAAAAGACTGACAAAATGTTATTAGTATTGCACTTATCAAAAGCAGTGGTCTCCAAATTGTGGCCCAGGGGCCAGATGGGGCCCTTTGCTTGTCTTTGTCTGGCCCTTAAGGCATTATTCCTGCTACAGACACCAACAATGGGGCACTATTCCTTCCACTGACACCAGACACCAACAATGGTGCAGAATTCCTTCCACTGACACAAACAAAAGGGCACTATACCTCCCACTGATCTCAACAGTGAGACACTATTCCTCCCACTGACCCTAACAATGAGGCACTTCTCCCACTGAAACCAACAATGGGGCACTATTTCTCCCCCTAATACCAAAGATGGGGCATTGTTTACTACCATTGGGCACAGTATGACCTAAAGTCTGAAGGACAGTAAACTGACCCTTTGTTTAGAAAGTTTGGAGACCCCTGATTTAAAGTAAAACTATGTTAAACCACATTGGATTCAACTTCTGTGTCCTACTGAAAATTTAAAAGGCTAACTCAACCTTTTGCACCATGTTACACCTGTATTTGGAATATAACATGTAACATGGTGCAAATGGGACCCTTCAAAAATGACTTCCCTGGCCCCTTCTGATACAGCAGGGCTTTGCAGTACTACACATACATTTCCTTTTTCTTTATAGGTCCTACAGAAGAAGCCATCCCTCTGGCAGCTTGCAATTAAATGTCTTTTACATCACATAGTGAGGGTGAAGGGGGTCCGTTACATTTAGGCTGTATGAAAGTATTCTCATACTTTAATTCCTGTGGCTTTGTACACATAAACTCCTCTGTGAATTCAGATAACCTTATTATGTACCTTAAGAACTACATTTTCCTTATGTATTATACACAACTCTGAAAAGTGACAGGTGGGAAAACAGCTTATGGCACATTACTGATATATACATACAAGTTATGAATTTGCAGTATTTATCTCATAAATGCAATCTTTACAAAAGTCTAGTTTATTTCACAAAGAAGTTGGCACAAAGAATTATAAAAATGCCCTTCTCTGCAAAAGATATCAAATAATGTTCTATTACTTGACTGCCACTAGGAGGCATCTGACCTCTATCTATGCAACCCAGTCAGTCATGTGACCAATATGGAGGCCAATTCACTATCAGACAGAAGGTGAAGTTTCCATGCCAACCATAGTTGCCATCATTTTCTCTCCTTAAACAAACTGCTGTGGAAATATGCCCACTTAGTCTGAAGCTACATTGCAACTATTTGTCCCACTGCAGAGAATTTCTACTTTTCTATTGATGAGTTGCAATAGTGCTCCACTATTTAGGTTTTGTTTTTTCTTTCTTACTTGTGGATATTGACCCATGATATTCTCTTTTATTGCTTGATTCTAAATTCATGTAAATCTAAAAAATGTAGATGTCTAGCAATACTTGGATAGTATATTGTTACTGCATATGGCATGCAAAAAATAACTTTTTAGGAATTTTAGCAACTCCAAGAACAATAGT